ACAGCACCGCTTATATTTTCGGACAGAGGAAGTAGTGATTTCTTTTCGTTTCCAATCTTTATTATATGATAAGTTTATATAAGAATTCTTGTATATTGTTTGCAATAAATGCTCCTAGACACAAAGTAAAGACTAGAACTCGGTATAATAGATGGAGTCGTCGTCCGACGCCACCACTGCCGATGTTTGTCAGCTGCACCCCTTCATTTACAATGATCTCATGCATCCGCAGCTTCAATTTACGGCGTCAAAGGAATTTTCCTTTACCTCTCCAAGTTGCAGCAATAATTTCACGAAAGGTGTCAAGGTCTCACCTGACGGTCTTTGTCTGCTTACAAATAGCGACGACCATGTTCTGCGTCTTTTTGAAGTGTGCAACGAGTTTGATAGCACGAGTTTATTGCAATGCAAAGAGGGAAATGCAATATATGATTTCGAATGGTATCCGTTCATGTCGTCAGCAGACCCAAACTCATGCATCTTTGTGAGTACAAGTCGAGATCAGCCTGTGCATCTATGGGACGCCTACACCGGCGAACTCCGTGCTTCTTATCGTGCGTTTGATCATATGGATGAGCTGACCAGTGCTCATAGTCTGGCCTTTAATACTACGGGCACCAAACTCTTTGCTGGTTTTGATCGAATGATCCGGTATTTCGATCTCTCACAGCCCAGTAGGGATTTTCAAGCGAGACCACTGAGCAAAACTCGACGCTCGCGTGATGGACAGCGAGGATTAATCAGTACATTGGACTTCAATCCGGATCACTCTCAAATCTATGCTGCAGGGTCGTATGCTGGCACGACTTGTGTGTACACGGAAGATAAAGGAGAAGAGCTACTTACACTACGCGACCATGGCGGTCGTGGTATCACCCAAGTGAAATTCTCGCCATGTGGGAGATTTTTGTTTACGGCTGCCCGACAAGATGCACAAATTCATTGTTGGGATATCCGTGCGTCAAACGAGATTCTTCACACATTCAATCGCGTGGCTGATACAAATTTGCGTATCGAATTCGACCTGCATTGTGGTGGCAAGTATCTTGCAACGGGAAGTCGAAGTGGTTGTGTTATGTTGTATGATGTGATGACTGGTGCACTACTGAACGAAAACATTCGGTTGCCGGATTGTGCCAATGGAGTATCATTCTTTCCAGACCCAACTAGGGCTATGCTTGCGGTGTCGAGTGGCCAAAGGCATTACGACTTACCAGAAGACATGCAAGATGAAGATGAGTCTTGGAATAAAAAGGTGGCGGCAAATGTGGTGCAAGTGTATGACTTTCAAAATCCTCAACGTCAGGAGAATCACGACACAGCTAATGACGCTCTTGCACAAGGAAAAGAATGAATGAATCACGTCTTAGTGTGGAAATAGATAGGTTAGTCGCACTTCATTTACTCTCTCAGTCAGTATCTTATAAATTTTATCAAGTCTCAGCGCTGAAGCATACTATTGGTTTCAAGATAACCTTATCGGTCACGGGTGATACCACCATAACTCTTGGCTTCTCTTTTCTCCTCCTCTTGCCATTGTGTATCATTCCCGCGCCTTGGTCGCATGGTCGATGGCTCCAATCGGCCTCTCCATCCCGTTGCACTTGGCTGTAATGATCCGTCCTCTTCTGTCTGCATGATGTCTTTTTCTTCCTTTTGCCGTTGAGCCCGCCTCCTCTTTTGCACCTCTTCAAAAATCATTTGCTGCTTCTTTTCAATCTTTTTTAATTTCTTAGCAGCTTTCTTCATCTTTTTCTCCTCTCTCTTTCTCTTTTTCTTCTCTTTATGTGTCTCTTTAACGGTTGCAAAGACATTGACTCCCTTTTCCAAATCAAATGACGATGCCAACTCTTTGCCTTCGTAAGCATGACCTGGTAAACCGCGTTGTTTTCTCACATGATCGTCGTCCTCCGAGTCACTTTCTTCTTGCAACTCCTTCGGCAGCTTGTATTTCAGCACGTGGTCTACACGCAACACACGATCGAGTAACTTAAAGCCATTCAGATTATCGACAGCCAAAATTGTGCTGCGCTGGTCTTCAAACTTGATAAAAGCAAAACCTTTAGATTTGCCCGTTTTGCCATCACGTACCAAGTGAATATCCTCAATCTCTCCAAACTGGCTCAGTACACACAACACATCGCCTTCAGACAGTTCAAATGGCAAGCCACCAACAAAAACCCATGCCGAATCCTTGTATTTTTGATGCCATGACCCTGATAGAGGCACATTAAGCTCCAATTCGCGCTCATTTAACCGCTGAATTTCTGCTACGACGTTCATTATCGTTTTTGTAATATATGATAGCACCGAAGTAATATTTGATTAATATCTTTCATTGTCGTCAGTTATTCAGAATGGAAAAATATGACAGATCTGGCAATGAAGATGAAGCTCTTTCAGCGAGTGACAGTGAATTTATGTGTCGAAACGATAACGATTCACTTTCGAATAACTTTGTGACTTCTGTATCTGCCCGTGGGATGCATACGTCAAAAGTAGTATTTCTTACTGTGAACGACGTTTACGAGATGCTTCCGGATAGTAATGGGAACGGTGGGTTAGCAGAACTTGCCACTATGATCAAAACTACAAAAGATACGTATCCAAGTAATTCATCTATAATTGTCACGCTAAACGGGGATTTTTTGTGGCGCTCGGAGCTGGATCGCAAGGACAAAGGGTGCGTACTGAACGCATTCGACCATATTCTTTCATTGAATAGGCTAACTTTTCTTTTCTGCTAGGGCTCTGATGGTAGAATTATTGAATCAAATTGGCATCGATTACATCGTGGTGGGTAATCACGAATTTGATTTTGGAGCGGAGTTTTTGCGCGACTTGATTGCTGGCGCCAAGTTCTCCTGTTTCGGGTCAAACGTCCGTTCTACCAGAGATAACAAGCTGACTGTAGGCCTTGTAGATACGTTAATTATTCCGCTGCGTAATGGATTTCGACTTGGAATGTTTGGGGTAGTGACAACAGTCACTGGCAACGATCCTTTTGCTGGGACTAATGTCGTATTTGAAGATGAAATCTTGCATGCGCGTCGATGTGTTGAGTCGCTTAAGAGCCAAGGAGCTGATGCTATTGTAGCTCTCACACACCTTAAAGCATCGCACGATGTGCAGCTCGCAACTCAGGTGCCCGGTATTAATCTCATTCTAGGTGGCCATGATCACTTTCCAATGACGTGTTCGGCTGGCGTTGGCACACTTATCCACAAGTCGGGTATGGATGCCGTGTGGCTTGGCGCAATTGAATTGACTTTGACGAGACAAAATACATTATTCGATGGTGATGATCAAGTCACAAATACTCGAGTGGATTTTCAATGGAAAATGTCTTTAAACCGTGGGTATCACGCCGATCCACATTGCTCAGCAATAATTTTGAAATACCTGAACGATGTTGAGCACGAAGAGCAGGCACAAGGAAAACTTGATGTGCTCGGAATATCTCGAACGGCTTTAGATGGACGACGTGTCACGTGTCGCACACAAGAAAGCAATCTGGGTAATCTCGTGGCTGATGCATTGCGCGAAGGACTTGGTGCTGATATTGGACTTTTAAATGCCGGATATATTAAAGGAGACATGTTGAATGTTCCTGGGCTTGCAATCACTCGAAAGTGGCTTGAAAAATGTTTACCACTTGTAAAGCCTACTGTAGTCGTCAAGCTATCCTTGTGTAAGCTAAAAGAAGCGCTTACTTACTGGTTGCGTCGATATCCTGCAATGAGCTCATCTCATCCGCACTTTTCCGGTCTTCGTGTGACCTATGACCTCACTAGAGCGGAAAGACCAAACATTACATCGATTCGGTTGTGTAAGGAGAGATACGAAGAATCTGCAGACGCGAATGGCGAATTTGGTGAGGAACAAACTGAAGCATCAATGAATGACGTGGTTACTATCGGTATGCCTTTAGTTTGCAGCTTGGACGGGTGGCAATTCTTTGCTACTGCTCCTCAATTGCGATCGGGGCCGATTGTGCGAGATCTCGTGGAAATGTTTGTCAGGCGGCGATCTCAAGTTCACTATCTTGCAAAAGAGGACCGTCTTTATGTCATTAAATCAGTCTTGATGACGCAAGGAGCTACCACCACCTCAGCTTGTGATACTGAATCGATCATTTAGCAATCACGGCGACAAATTCTTCAATCGATCTGCAAGCATTTTCACAAATCGATGATTTTTGCCATGTGTGATACACAAGATACGCTGTGCTTCTGCCAAATACGCCGCTCCTTTCGTCTTACTTTCAGCTGTTCTCATTCCCAACTGTACTTGTTGGCCATACAGATCACCCAAAGTAAACAAGTGAAGTCCCGTCATTGGATGGTTCGAATTATAGACACGTCGATAAAATTTCAGTATACGTTCTCCGTATCCAATGGCTTCCTCGAAGCTTCCCCGTTCCATATGAGCACTAAAAAGCGCTGAAAGGGTCTGCAATCGCGCAGTATTATTTCGATGAAGGAGCGTACTTTGCCGTTCTGCCAGCTGCTTCAGAGCATTAATACATTGTTGCTGTTGTGTAGCGACGTCTGTATCGATACCAACACCATTAGTGGCATCGCTGACTTCTTGAAGTGCCTGCTCAACCTCTTTTTGGCGTTGCTTTGTCCATCCATCCTGCGGAATGCCATTAATATCAGCATCGAGAAAAGCATCGAGGCTTCCAGCCTCCTGAAGCTGGAGCGTGCAGCGCGGACATCGGCAAGTAAAATGATACTTTTTTTGCAGACGCTGGTGTCTTTCGCGCCGTGGCAGCGCAACATCGACTGCATAACGGTACAGGCAATAGAATTAGTGTCATTCAAAAATGCAGCATTCAGAAAATCTTACCGTAAGTCTGTGTAATCTCCTCGCCAGACTGAATAAACTTCATTGCTCGAACTTCTAATTCAAGCGTCTTGGAATCAAATCTACATTTCGTGATCAGTACGTCACAATGAAATTGCACCACCATATCTTACGTACGTGACAACACAGTTTGGATCACAGCTATGATTAATCATTGCCGCGAGTGGGTAACAGCCGACACCAACTTCCAGTAATAAATCATCGCAAATGGAGAAATTGTTATTGCGGAACCGACTAAACATGCGCACCATTTCATCCATCGAAAACGAGTCTATACAAAGCAACAAATACGTTCATGTCAGCATACGCCACACGCCACTATACATCTACTCAGTCTACATACCATCCACTAAATTAATCTTTTGTGTTAATGCTGCTAGTAAAAGCAATTCGTGGTCGTCCATGTCTTCTTCATACCATACAAGTTCCGATGGCAGCACTCCTTCACTCATATTACACCTCAAAACGCGTCCTAAGAGAAGCACTTGTGCCACCTGATCGCTTCTTAGTCCAAGCTGCATCAACTGTGCTAGACGTTTACATTCCTTGCGATGATCCCGCACCCAGTCTGCTTGTTGGCAACTCTTAGAACCTGTAATAACAAGGAGTAGAATGTATACATATTTATTAGAAAATAATAAATTGTAGCTGATTGCCGACATACAGTAGAAAGCCGTGCGACAGCGACCACAGAAGCTAAGACGAACGTCTGAAGCGAAGCACTTGTGACAACGAGAGCTCCAAAATTCGGGCGAAAGCACAATGGCACTTGCCGAAGATTTAAGAACTAAATCACCAGCAGCCAGATTAGTTTGTGTCTCAATACGACGGCCAAAGTCCCCTGGAATGTTGTCCAGCGTGTCAAGATCGCGGTCACTCACAATGCGCATCTTTGAGACGATTAGAAATGAATGTTCGACGACTGTATACCACGAACACTTAAACGTTTCGTTTAGAAACGCTCACTGTATAGTCGGTACATACCGGTACATTGAAACACAGTGGTCGCAAAGATGCTCTTGGGTCTAGGAGGCAAGCGCTCCAGTAGTAAAGAGATACCGACGGCCGAAGCTTTAAAGGAAGTCAGTGCGACCGAAACTTACTGCCCAACATTGTGATCTCTCGTTGCTGCGAACTGTAGACTTTTGAATGAGACTTGTGCGGGAGAAATGCTTACAAAGTAATTTTGCGATGAAATGATAACGCCACACTCGATATGGTCAATATATTGACTGCATCTACGCAACGTGGCCGAGTGAAGTGCGAGAAAGAATCAGTGTACTAACCGGATCAAGATGAAGTGTTGTCGGTGACCGTTCAAGTTGAGGGTACCAAGAAGAAAATGCGACTATGGTATGTCATGCGTATCGCAAGCATGTCGGTTCGTACAGTGCTAATTCATATTTCTATGGAATTGAGTTGACCATTGGCAGCATTTAGATCATTGATCAGCTGCTTTAATCCTCGCACTACTGCGATCACCAACCTTTCGCTTCATGCGGAATTAAGTGGATTGGTGAGTTGCTAATATCGAGATTGGCTGGCAATCTAAGCTTAAGCGCTCACCATTGTTCACTGTCAAACTTAAAAGCGCTCACGATAAAATGGTTCACTATTCGAGACTCACGGTCTGCAGGGCCGCGCCTTTACATTAAATTGGAGGGTTATGTCCCACCTAAATTATGTGAACCACATTTAAATGTGCGCCACATGAAATACTTCTTCCTTACTTGACAATTCTCTGCGCTCAAGCTTCGTCCGCCCTCACAGCAGTCGGCCACGTACGCCGTCGGTCCGCGATCTGCAAAGAGTAAAATTTGCTGCAACCTGGAAAACAATCATTTTCACAGGTTCATCTCATCTCCAGAAAACTCCCGCGTCTCATCAATCTTTCTGGCCGCCGTAAAATTTAGGTACGAAATGCGTAATTTTTCAAAGGGGACATTGCCGCCCTCAGACTAGTAGACCTATCAAAGCCCTCTTTGCCCATCAAACTGGCATTTTAAGCTATTGAAAGGTCTGCTAGTGGTTTTTGGCTTTTCTTATGTAATTAAATCTACTAGGTCAGAGTAAATTACCATTGACACGGTAATTTATTTCTGACTACCGTAGTAAAGCTTTTATGCTGCTACATTCTTGTATGATAGGAAATATATCTTGCACATGGACTAAATCAACTAAATGATCTAACTTGGTTTTTACTTCTTTAGAATCGAAGCCTTGAAGGAACCTCACGGCATCGAAGTCAGAAATTGCCAATAACGATTGTGGCTGCTGAAAGCAGCACCACGATATATTTTTGCCAGCTCATGTCTGTTCCTCAGCAATCTATGCCCACTATTTCTCAATATGCATCCAAGGCGACAATAGCTGGCCGTTCTGATTCGACTCCACCACCACCTGCTAGCAACGTAGGTTATTCGTTCTTATTCTTCGCATAGTGAAGAGCTCAGCTTGAAGACTTTCATACTTACAGGCCGTTAGCTCAAATACGTCAGAGGCGTCTACTTTACAGCCGGCATTTACGACAAATTCAAGCACCACTGAATCAGTTCCAAATAATGCTGCTACATCGACAGCTTCTACGACAAGCTCTGCTGGTATCTCAGGAATTAATCTTGAGGGAGTTGCCGATTGGAGAGATAAAGATGCTGACCGAAGTGCGAGACAGCAAATTGCGCGGATCATGTATGTAATTAGCTACTACGAGTTTAAGGACTTGACTTGATGCTATCAATGTGTTGCAGTTTGACTTTGATCATGAAGAGTGCAAATCGTCCAACTTCGGCAAATTATAATCCTCGAGAAATCGCAAGAAGGCTGGAACATACGCTCTACATGGGAGCACCTTCTAAACAAGAGTATAGCGATGTACAGACGTTGAAAGCTCGATTACAGCAGGCACTAGACAATTCTCGACGGCGACAGATGCAGCAGCAGCAAGCAAGACTTCAACAGCAGCAGCTTCAAGCGTCCGGAACGTCTACAGACGCTGCCCAGCAGCAAGCCCAAGCTCAGCTTTTGCAGCAGCGGCAACTAGCAATGCTACAGCGGCAACAACAGCAACAACAGCAACAGCAGCAACAACAGCAACATCAGCAACAACAACAACAACAAATGGCTGCTGCACTGCATAACCAGAGAACAAATTTTCAGGCTGTTCCATTTCCAGGGACATCGACTTCAATTAATCAGCAGCCTTCTATCAGTCAGCCGATGCAAATGCCGATTAATATGTCACAAATTGCAGTCAAAACTCCAGATTCGATTGCTGCGGTGAGCACAGCTCCAGTCACAACTCGTGTATCCTCTTCAGTTGGACCCGCTGGAGCAAACAGCTCAATACTTGATGAGCTGGAGCGTGAAGCGGATGAGATGGCCAAGGGTTTTAGCGATCAGTCGCTGTCTATGCCGAACGTCGAGTTTCAGGCTGTTACAACGCCAACAGGGACGGGCACTGCAGCCAGTAATGCGAACTTTGCAAATTTAACACCCGCTATAGCTTCACCAACGTTGGGTGGTAGTACTGCGGCTGGACAATTCAACGCGGTTCCACTTAGCATGCCACCTGACATTGGAGTCAGTACAGCTCCTGTTTCAACGACCGGTGGGATACTGCAGCCGAATTCTTCCATGTACCACGGAATGAACCTTACAGGACCTCAGATTCAGCAGATCCAGCAGATTCAGCAAATGCAGCAAATTCGACGAATGCAGCAACTTCAGCAGCTTCAACAGGTTAACGGAAAGGTACACTTGCAAGTCGACACGTCAGTGCCAACTACACCAACATCTGCAAATAGAAATGGTAACGATATAAGTCCAGGAATGCTGCCAATGAATGAAGCATCTATTGCTCAGAAGCGGGAGGAGCTTAAACGTCGTCTTATTCAGCTTAAGCACGCGCGTACTTGTACGACAGGAGAATGCACGATCGACTATTGTAGCCGCACTAAAGCGTTGCTGTCACATGTATCGCGGTGTGCCAATGCTCAGTGTACAACACTTGGCTGCAAGTCCACTCGACAGCTCTTGTCACATTTTCGAAAGTGCCGTAACTTGCAGTGCGATGTTTGCAGTGCAATTCGACCTCCAATGAATGAGAATGAACAGCAACTGGTGCTTCGACGTCAACAGGAGCGACTATGCATGTTACGTCATGCCAGTACATGCACAGCGCTGCAATGCATTCTGCCGTATTGTGCTGGCATGAAGCTGTTGTGGAAACATATTTGCGAATGTCATCAACGTCAATGTCGAACGGACCATTGCATCTCATCGCGTTACGTGCTTTCGCACTTTAAACAATGTAACAAAATGATTTGTGAAGTTTGCGGCCCCGTTCGCAAGGCTATCAAAGTGGTGGATTCTTGTCGCGGAAATTTTAGTCAGCTCCAGCTGGCAGCAAGTCAATGCCCAGACGGTGTGCGTGGCCTGATCAAGATAATGAACACGACCACTGCTAGTGCATCAGTATCGTCATCTGCAGCGCAGGCAGTGCCTAGGAATGAGCTTGCCGGTACGGACGTCAAGATTGAAGGATCACCTATTGGTGCGCCGTTGGCGTTGGCGACCACAATCAATGCGACTGTTACGAAGGATTTAGGTGTGGGAGATGAGATGAAAAAAAAGCCTCTTAAACTTCAGACGGAAAAAGAAAAAAAGTTGCGAAGAAAGGAGCAAGCAAAAATTGCAAAGGCTCGTGCGCAGGCTAAAGCTGCAGCCGCAGCTGCGGCTGCGCTCGCAGGGCCGATTTCTGGGGCACTGACTGATACAGGTGCAATTCAACCCGTCCTGCACAATGGCCTCGTTGTTCGTGGTACTCAGGCAGATTTGCATGGCGACTATCACGTTTTGCATCAAGACATTTCTTTTCTCGATTCGATGACGGAAGGTCAATTAGATGAACACATTCGCTCGCTTCGATTCAACTTCTGCGGGCATATTTCAATCTCAGAACTCAAGAACAGACTGATGCCACTGCTTCAAAAGCTCATGGATAGCGAGTATGGGTGGACTTTTAATAATCCAGTGGATCCTGTCCAGTGGAACATTCCCGACTATTTTGATATTATCAAGTGTCCGATGGACCTCGGTACAATCAAAAAGCGATTGGAAAATGAACACTACAACAGTGTGGAAGCGTTTGCGGGGGATGTACGACTGGTATTTGAAAATTGTATCGCTTACAACAGCAGCACGAACAAATTTAATATTGCCGCGAAGCAGCTGCTTGCCTCATTTAATAGATCATTGGCGGCTTTGAAGAATCAGCTAGAAAAGCAACTGTTTAAACGCTGCGAGCAGAGACGTGAAGAAATGTGTCAATTGTGCGGCGGAGATTCGTTTAAGTTTGCGCCATGTATGCTTTTCTGTAGCGGTCCGTGTGCAGGTCGTATACGACGACATACACACTACTACAGCGATCCTCGAGGTGAGCATCATTGGTGCTCAAGTTGCTACAAGCAAATGAAAGACGGCCCGATTGACATGTCGCTCTTGCCTCAGCTGTCGAGTGCGGCCACTGAAGTGGCTCCTTCTTCTGGTTCTGTGCCGTTCGATGGTGTGCTAAAAAAGTCATCACTCGTAAAGCGAAAAAACAGTGAGGTGGCTGAAGAACCTTGGGTCGAGTGCGATTCGTGCAAATTATGGTACCATCAAATTTGTGCGCTGTTCAATGAGCGCAACCACGCCATTTCTGGTGAGCAAGAACCGTTTGTGTGTCCAATTTGTGTGAAAAAACAACGTGCTGCTGGGGTAAAACCGTCTTTAGACAATGGTCTGAAGGCGAAACGGCTTCCGATTACACGTATGGCACAGCTAATTGAAACAAGAGTCTTAGAGGCCATTGAAAAAGCAGGACAGGATGAGGCCATGCGCATGGGCAGTATGGGCAATTCAGATAGTATTGGTTTCTCGAACGGTGTGAAGGAATCGGCATCGGATACGCAGTACGGCATCACAATCCGCGAGGTTTTAAGCATCGATAAGCAGGTCCAAGTGAAACCACGAATGGGCAAGTTATTGGCCTTGAAGTATCAACAATCAAAAAAGTCGTTGAAACGGCCAAGAGTAGGATCTGCTGGTGATTCAAATACTGCTGCATCGGCTTTGTCCTTGCAGTTGACCTATCGTTCGCGGTGTATCTGCGTCTTCCAAGAATTGGACGGCGTTGATGTTCTCATTTTTACATTGTACGTCCAAGAATACGGCCCCGACGCCTTAGCCCCAAATGCTGGACGTGTTTACGTCTCGTACCTGGATTCAGTCAATTATTTTCAGCCAAAAAAGCTACGTACACTAATGCACCAACAGGTAATGCTCGGTTTCCTTGAGGACTGTAAGAACCGTGGCTTCCACACGTGCCATATTTGGTCTTGTCCGCCGTTGAAAGGAGACGACTATATTTTTTTCTGTAAGCCTGAGAACCAAAAGATTCCAAAGTCAGCACGACTGCGTCAATGGTATCAGAAACTGCTGCAGCAGGCCAAGCAAGATGGACTTGTTGCGAACATATCCAATCTTTATGCTGAATATTACATGAAGAAAAAAGCAGCGCACGAACTTCCGTACTTTGAAGGAGATTACTGGCCACGACTTGCAGAAGACTTGAGCAAACAGCTGGAAGAAAAAGATGGTAATCGAGCGAAATCTGGAGGAGCTCACGATGTGCTAGATGTCGGTAGCGTACCAGGTGGCAAGACGCCCAATATCGGATCAAAGATGCCCATGTCTCGATCCCCTTCGCCTGGTGAGTCCAGCAATGAGAATGGGAATAGTATGGTTGACGTCAACACCCCACTATCGAAGAAAGGAGCGACGGCGCCAAGCGTGAAGAGCGCTAGCAAGCGCAGCAAGAATAGCGCTACTACTGAACCGTCAGTGACGCGGAGTAGTGCATCAAAAGCACGTTCGAAGAAAGCAGGCAAGATGTCGCGTTGTGTGAGCAGCTCGAAGAATGTTATCAACAGTGATCCGCTCATGCAGAAGCTAAAAGGTATTTTAGAGCCTCAGAAGGATGACTTTTTTGTTGTGGATCTTTATCCCAAGTGCCACAAGTGTGCAGTGCCCATTGTGCAAGAAATATATTGGGAGCTTAAGACTGTCTCACCCCCTGCGTCAGTGACCCATTTGCTAGAGGTTGCAAAGAAGTCCCGATCGTCATCGTCAAGTTCGCGCAATTCACCTCCGCGTCACTATCATTATTATTACTGCCATCTTTGCTACGAAATGAATAAGACACAATTGCTGCATCGTGTCGAAGTGTCTGGCGTATGTGCGATGCGGGCAAAGGAGTTAGGCGAGCGCATAGCTCCGATGAATGAAAAGGCAGCTGCAGCAGAGGTTGCAGAGCTGGATCTTCAAGAGATAAAGTTTGAGACCGTTTTAAGATTTGTCGACCCGACTGAAGATGAAGAAGATACGTTTATTGAAAATTCGGAAGCAGATCATATAAAAGCAAATGATGCAGAAACTGCTGCCATAAATGACAATGCATCAACTACATCGAATCCATCGCCATCATCTGCTGAGAAAAATCAGCACGATGAGGGAAAAGGAAATGGCAATGTAAGCGAGCAAACAGATCATCAGAGAATTAAGGAAAGAAGCACTTTGCGGAGGAAGATGAAGCGTGTGATTGGTGATGATCTGGACGATGTGATCATGCCGTGTGAGATATTCGACACGCGCGAGGCTTTCTTGTTGTATTGTCAAAACAATCACTGCCAGTTCGACCAAATTCGACGCGCCAAGCACTCGTCAATGATGGTTCTTTACCATTTGTTTAACCAGGGTACCACTGGGTTTACATTCAGCTGTTCAAACTGCAAGACGACGTTGCTGAGTGGAAATCGCTGGAACTGCTCCATTTGCCCCGTATTTAATTTATGTGACCCGTGTCATACGAAGACGAAGCACGAGCATCAGCTTCATTTATTCAAAGTCGTGTCAATTCCAAGACCGGGCAACGAAGTGTCAAACGAGACAGTGAGCTCTAAGGTTAAAGGTATCGTTTCCAAAGCTGGAGGCGTTACTGGGCGTGCGATTAAACGCGAAGTAGAAAGTGTGGATCTGAAGCGGGCAAAACATGCAAAGGAAGCTGGACACCAGGCTGGAGGCTCACGAAAGCGCAAGTTACCGCATACGTCGCCCGTTGCAGCATTAGAAGTAAAGCCAGAAAAACCAGCGACCGCGTCGATGGGTTCGAGTGCAGACGCCTCGAATGGCACGTCTGTGGGAAATAATGGCAATATGGCAGACGGAAAGAAGCGACGAATCCACAATATCGATCCTCAACTCTTACTTCAGCTTGAACATGCAAGTAGCTGTACGGTGCCAAATTGCTCATTTTTCAACTGCAACCGGATGCAAGCGATGCTCAAGCACGGCTCAATCTGCGAACAAAGGCTAGCTGGTCCTTGTGTTCTGTGCAAGCGTATTATTGGTCTCTTATCCGCACATGCTCGACAGTGTACTAAGGGGTATGGAGTCTGTAAGGTTCCTCGCTGCGCAGACATTCGTCGCCATTTTCTTGCACAGGTTCAAGCACGCCGGGAGCAAGCACATCAGCTACAACAAGAAGGCAATGATGTTGCTAGTACAGACAGACTTGACACTACAAGTACAAGCCCCGATGCAAGTGAGACGGAGGGTGGACATACAACGGGATGAACAATAGTGGAAGGCAGAATAAGTCAAGTATAGAATGATTAGCATAGGTATTCGTTTTTTTTCGCACTAAATTTACGTATATTGTTTCCTAAAGCGTTAAATTTAAATCATAAAAAATCGTGTTTGAATTAAACCAAGACACTTGAATGGGATGACGTGCAATGCCAAGGTGGACGTATGAGCTACACATGATGTCATGAGTGTAGAGCCAGCTTTTCGACAAGCCATTTGAAATACCGAAAGCTCCTAAATTTTTAGATGGATACTTTTCAAGCTCAAATTAAATACGAGCCGGGTCATCATTTCTGAAAGAAGCAGCCGCGCTTTTGCTTACCATACAGACACAAAAGAAGTTGACGAGAAAAGAAAAGCCAATATTGTGTGGATAGTCTGTTGTCGGCCAATCAGACGTTCAAGAAGTGCTGGATATTCTGTGATCACTTAACCCTAAATTTTGACAAAGTGACGGAAAGTCTGTTTGATGGGTAGTTTTATATCTGAGACATGTTGAGCTACTTTCTAGTATATCAAGTGTCTAAATTTGACTTCTGATGAGCAAAAGCGTTAGACAACCTTTCTACCTTCATAATTTGTTCTTCTTATTGGCTAAATATCTCCATACTCTAATCTATATCACTTCTTGATTCTCCGCATCATTCACCCATTTGTCCTCTAAGCGTCTTCTCGAACATTTGCCTCTTTTTTCAAAGATTCCGTTGGACTTGATGGCATTTCACGCCGATGAAGGCGCTCGTACGCCCATGCGTCGCAAAGCTGAGAGCAATTATATTGATGTTGATCGTGAACAAGCGCTGCATCGTTACGAGAGTTTTCATGCTAGAACACGTGGTCCATTTGATCTATTGCAAGAAAAATTTGGGTTTCAATCGAGTAGTGTCGCAAATCAAAAGGAAAATATGGGATGTTGGATTACAAACTACCAGATGCGTGTACGTGCTGAGGCGCCGGTTGGTGTTGCTGATAATACCGACTTTGTCACTCGTATGGCCCTTGCACGTGTGCATACCAAGTTTTTTCGAAATTATATGGCCTGGTGTAAGTTCTTACGTACAGTCCCTCGTTGTTTAGACACTGCTAAAGATAATACAAACACGTCGAAGATGGAGAAAGAACTTGCGCTTTTTTTGCTATTATGGGGTGAAGCTGGGAACCTTCGTTTTATGCCCGAGTGCATTTGTTTTTTATATCACAATATGGCTGCAAAACTCGAGTATCTTGACACGTTACCAAATGTGGGTGAAGGCTCGTATCTTACAGAAGTTGTGCGTCCCGTTTACTTAGTGATTGCTCAAATGCGATTGGCTACGGCTCCTAAAGGGCAACGTCCATTTGACCATCAAGATACAACGAATTATGATGACGTGAATGAATTTTTTTGGACTCGAGAATGTCTAACATGTGACGAATTGAGTGTCGCTAAAGTTCTTTCAGTTCAAGATTCCAAGACGTTTAAAGAAAAACGTAGTGTGTTTAACCCAATTTTGGCGTTTTTTCGCTTATGGTACTTTTTAGTCATTGTCTTTCACGTAATGGTCGTGATTACATACGTCGCGTACATGGCGGAAGGTAATGATAATGGAGGTCTTGACTTTTTCTTTCGTGTGTTTACAACGAATCAAAACAAAATTCGAGCCCATGCGTTTTATACCATTTTTGTCTCAATATGTGGATTATTGTCCATGAAAACGATGATGCAAATTTGGCTCCACGGACTGCGACTTTATAAGGACTTTTGGATGGCTTTAGGTGTCTATTGCCGTTTATTGTGGCATACTGTGTTTTTTGCACTCTTTATGGCAGTTGTCTTGGCACCTGATTCCTCGGCAATTATGGGAGATTGGAGTAGTACTTTACCTGGCGGTGGTACAGCTGGATCGTACTTGTCCATGGGGTTATTGTACGGAGCAATTTATTGCATTCCTGTAGTGACTACAGCCATGATTCGTGCATTTTTTCCTGATGCCATTTGGGGTATTCGATTGGTGAATGCACTTGATGGAACAAGTCGACAATATGTTGGACGCAATACATCGCAACCGTTTAGCAATTATTTACAATATTCACTCTCGTGGTACTTGATCTTTTTTGGCAAATTTCTATTTGCACTACAATTCATGATTCGTCCATTAATGGGTCCATCGATTGAAATTTACGATATTGATGTTGAAGACGATGGTTTGTTTCAATCGGGCAATAATTTATTGTTCATTTTTGCGTTATGGGCACCCGTTTTTGTCGTGTACATGTACGATGCACAAATTTGGTTCATTTTGTACCAATCGATTGTCGGGCTGATTATGGGGAAACGCATGCAATTAGGTCATTACGTCGGATTGGCGCAGCTTAAAATTGGTATGGCAGCAGCACCAAAATTATTTGATGACAAAGTTGTGTCGCGATTGACCCAAAAACCCAATCCAGAAGCTGCTACGCCCGTGTCCAATCACGACCATGTCGGCGAACTACGTCATCGTGATGTCATTCTGCTTCGTTTTGCTATCATTTGGAATCAAGTTGTGGACAATTTCCGTCTGAATGACTTGTTAGACGATCGTGAGACTGTTATTCTCCAGTACCGAATTTTAAACAGGGGTGAAAAGATTCAAGAACCTATTTTTCTTTTGGCTGGAAAATTGGCTAAAGCTGTTGAAATTGCAAGCAAATGTAGGTCTAATAGATGGGACGTTGCAACATTAATTAAACACGTTGCGTCAGCCGATGCACTTGAAGGAATGAAAAATGGGATGGAATTATTGCGTGAAATCTTTCACCTATTACTTGGCGAAAGTGACGATGAAAATGGTGCTATAAGTGTCGTTGAGTACATTTATTCGTCTCCAAATGTTGTGAATCTGCTTGATTTTACGTATTTGCCGCAATTAGCCAATAATATTGTCGAATTGCTAGCTGTGATTTTAGATATGCCCGAAGATATCGCAACCATTGACTCTTTAAATACCACTCGCGATGAATTGCGTATGGAGTTGCATGTTCAAGTGGCTCAAGTCGTTGATCGAATGCGTGCCATTGCTCTCACTATCGAGCTTATGCTGCATGATGATGCAATAGCTCGAAAACTTCATACGTGTCGTTTTTTACAAACTACAAGGGATTTGGACTTTCAAACAATTCAACTCATTCGTCTTTACAAAGCCGATGCGAGGATGGAAACGGGATTAATTGCCGTTCATCCTCGGACCGATCGACAAGCAATTATGTCGCGATTTGCACACGAAGATTTTATTTCGAGTTGTACTCGATTATTTTTCTTATTGCAATTGGATGTAGCAAGTTCATTACCACGTTGTGAAGATGCAAAACGTCGAATGGGCTTTTTCTTGCATTCTTTAGCAATGGACATGCCACATGTACACTCTTTAGAAGCCATGCCATCTTTTTCAGTAATGACTCCATATTATTCTGAAACGGTCTTGTTTACTTTAGAAGAATTAAACAATCCAGTGCATTCAAATCCATTGTTTGCTGAATTAGAAAAGAAACAAAAAGCGAAAGGATGGACAGAATTGACGATTCTGAAATATTTGATTACGTTCCATGCTGAAGAATGGAGCAATTGTCTTGAACGGATGGGTGCGAGTTCATTAGAAGAAGCACTTGAGATTAACGCTCAAGAAGTACGTTTATGGGCATCAATGCGTGGTCAAACGTTAGCACGAACGGTGCATGGAATGATGCTATATGAAGATGCAATCCGACTTTTGCGATGGCTCGAAGTTTATTCACTTGAGTCAATGGGATTAAATGAGAAATTGGATGAAATGAATCGTATTTCTGCGTTAAAATTCTCCTACATTACGGGTTGTCAAATTTACTCGAAACAAGTTGCGAATAATGATCCAAGAGCAGCGGATATTGATTATTTGATGAAGAAGTTTCCAAGTTGGCGTGTGAGTTTTGTTGATTCGATTAAAGAGAAGATTGGCGAGAAGGAGGTTGAACGATTTGATTGTGTCTTGGTGAAATCGGAAGGGGGGGAGATTGTTGAAGTCTACCGGTATGAATTACCCGGAAATCCAATTCTTGGGGAAGGGAAACCGGAGAATCAGAATGTTGCGCTGCCATTTACACGTGGTGAGTATCTTCAAACGATTGATATGAACCAAGAACATTATCTTGAAGAATGTTTGAAAATGCCAAATTTTCTTGCTACGGCTACTAGTACAGGGGAAGAAGTGACAGTCCTTGGAATGAAAGAACACGTTTTTACTGGTCGTGCGTCGTCTTTAGCGCGATTCATGACACTCCAAGAGCTCGTATTTGTCACGCTTACACAACGTGTACTAGCAAAACCTCTTCGTTCTCGAATGCATTATGGACATCCGGATGTGTTTGAAAAATCGTTTGTTGTTACAAGCGGTGGTGTTTCCAAAGCAAGTAAAGGTATTAATCTTTCGGAAGATGTGTTTAGTGGTTACAATGTTACATTACGTGGTGGATTAGTCACCCATGTCGAATTTATGCAATGTGGTAAAGGACGTGACGTGACATTGAGTCAAATTAATGCGTTTGAAGCGAAACTTTCGAACGGTTGTGCTGAAAGTTGTTTAAGTCGAGAAGGTCATCGCTTAACGAATTCATTGGACTTTTCGCGTCTCAATTCAATGTTCTACGGACACTTTGGCTTTTATATTTGCAATGCACTTACAGTCTTTTGCGTCTACGTTTATGCGTATTCACGTCTTTATGTTGCGACGCACTCGGAAGTCGAAGTGACGGCCATTATGACGACAGATAGCTTGAATTCCTTGGCCAATGTCATGACGACCCAATATCTTCTTCAATTCGGGATGCTGACAACTTTACCACTCTTTGCAACACTCTTTGTGGAGTTTGGCTTTCAACAAGCAGCACTAAAAGTCATTGAACTCATTTCAACACTGGGTATTGTCTTTTACGTCTTTTTAACCGGAACAAAAGCGCATTTTTTTGATGTTGCACTCATTCGTGGTGGCTCCAAGTATCGTGGAACTGGTCGTGGATTTTCGATCACACGAGATCCAATGGTGAATTTCTTTAAAGAATATGGTGTTTCACACTTTCGAAAAGCAGTGGAACTAATTGGAATCATGATTCTCTTTGGTATCTACGGATCATTTGATCTTGGATCGGGGGCATTAGAAGACTTTTGTGCGACTGCAGACTTTGATTGTGATCGAAATCCAGATCTAATTCCTGCTAACGTTACGTCTCTCGCAGCTTATAGTGAAAAGTCACAAAGTTATGGCATAGCATCGTTTGCTGTATTGTTTCTCGGCGCGTGTTGGTTAATGGCGCCATTTGTCTTTAATACTGATGGCTTGGTTTTTCAAAAATCCAAATTAGATATTGCAAATTGGTTCGCGTGGATGATGCGCTCGGAACATCAAGATGAAGATAAAGAAGGAAGCAATGCATCGAAAGATGGTTGGATCGAGTGGTGGAAGTCGGACGTGGATTTAATGCTGCCATTAGGTGGCATGGGACGTCTCACGTACTGCATTCGGGAACTTCGTCATCCTCTGGCCACGTATTATGTATTTATGACTGAATTTACTTTACCATGGTTTGCTCTGTTGTTTTCAGCTATGGCCGTAACGTGGACTATTCTATGGCTTGGAAATCGTATCCATCATTGTATTTCCAAGCATCGTCAACTTAAATCTCTATCGATACAGGGAATTTTGTACATGATTTGTGTCATTGGTGGTATCTTGTTAATTCCATTAATTTTTGGCGTCATCGGTGGATGGTCAGTTCACAAATGCTTTACGTTGTCGGTATCCATTTTTCTTGGCTTGAATTCGATTGTGCAATATGCATTAGCATTCAATGGTATCTTTGGTCTTGAAGTCGCCATGTTTAGTCCCATTCTGGCCCTTGGCTTTCTCATGGACATGATTGTCGGACTTTTTCTTGTTATCCCGCTCTTTCTTTTGTCACTCTTGCCGTTCATGCGAATTCTCCAAACTCGTGCTATGTACAATGGAGGCTTTTCGAGGGCTTTGAGCTCTGGCTCAGAAGTAGCTGCATCGCTTGTGATCTTATTGGGTGTATGGGGTGGATTTATTCACGGCTTCACAACATCCTTTTTGTTCACGCTTGGCTATATCAACGATCGAAGTGACAATTTTATGAATCGCTCGTTTTACTATTTCGTGACGACGAAATTACCGAATAATGGCGTTGATATGCTACGATATATGGATGATGGGTATCTTCAGATGCTATGTGCTGGTATTAGTATTGTAGCGCTGTTCTTATCACTTTTGATCGGTCGAATTCTGGGTCGACGAGTGAATATGGTGCTTGGAAGTAGTTTAATTTTTATATCTGTTGGTTTGAACTTTATTACAAGCACATCCGTGATTTTAGTGGCGTGTGGTATGGCAGCTATGGGAGCTGCGATTATGGCGATGAATTACCTTCTTTGGAGTTATGAAATCTGCACAAAAGGTTGGCGTGGTAAGAGTGTCACGATCTTTTTAATGGGTTCGATGATTGGATGGCTGGTACATGCGCTTTTAATGGCTAATACAAACGCGACGACAATGGCAGAAGACTGGGATAATGAACCAACCGACATGTGGCGTCTTCAGCCGCTCTTTGTTTTGCCTGCGCTTATTTTAGCCTTCTTTGGAATTTTGTGGTTTGTACCAGAAAGTCCTGTGTGGTTACTAGCACACAAACAAGAGGAGCCAGCACGTGAGGTGCTAGTCCGCCTACGTCGACGACTGAATGTTATGCCAGAAGTTGAGCTCATTAAGGCTGAGTTAGCGCAGAAAACAAGACAGAATCACCTTTTATTTCGCTTATCAATTGTCTGTGCGCTTCAAGCGTTGTTCGGATTCATTATGTCACAAACTGTGCTTGTCCGTCGGACGCTTCAGGTGAATGCCAATGATAATTTAAGCGCAAATAATTATTGGCAAGTCTACTTTGCACTGTGCTGTGCTATTGGCTATGCATTTGGAAGCTTCTTAGTTGACAATGTACGTCGGAAAACGATTCTTAAGGAATTTTTGCCGTTTGTTGCGTTGATGGCGTTTACTTGTGGAGTCATTGGTGCCGTCTCGAGAGCCGACGGTGGTTTGGTCCAAGCGGTTTTATGTTTGCTCTACATTTCAGCAGGTCTCAGTCTCATGAGCGTCACGTGGCTAGCAGCCTTGGAAATGTTTCCCGCATCACGTCGACCGCTTTATTGGACACTGTCGTTGTGTGTGTATTACGCAGTCCAGATTGTTGTATTCTTTGTCAAGCCGTCGTTTGCCTTATCAAACTTTGTGCTGGCTGGCGGCTGTATTGTGCTCACGGCAGTGCTATTTCTCTTTTGTGCCAGCACAAAATTGGGCGCAATTCAGACGAAGGCTGAGAAAAGGTACCAACGATCGCTTCGCCCAGCTGTACCTGAAGTAAGTGATGCAACGAATGTAATGGAAGTAGACGATGTGCACAAACAGCAAACGCGGATCGCCCAGACGTCAGCAATGAATCGTTCAGGTATTGCAGCGAGTCAAATGAATTTGGGCATGTCTGGAATTGGATCTATGGGACCCTATTCAAGCAGTGCGTCATCACAGGCACGCCACAATGCATCGCAATTTGGTTTTAGCGGAGCGACAATTGACGAGGTGGATGAACCGATGCCTTCTAATGCTCCAGAAACCCGCGATCAATTTAGTTTCCGCCGTCTTGAAAGTGGTGAGGAGCCAAAAAATCCACGAGCCGAAAGTTATGGATTAAGCACCGGCTTGAGTCGAATTGATAGCTCGGAGACATCATCGATTGATTTATCAAACGTCACAAATGACCGTCATAACCTCATGTCGCGAATGTCATCTACATTTGACTTTGAAGCTGAATTTGAAGCTGAGCATTTAGAAGATTTGCGTCAAGGCCAAGTGAGTTATCCACGTGGTCAACCACGCTCGGTGTCATTTTTGCAGTCCCAGCGATATCCTGATGCTGATTTACTTGCTGAGACACAAGCTGCTCGATTGTAATATCTCGAGTGATTGAATATATTTTTCAGATGATTTTATGATCCTATCGATATTCGGGTTTTGTCTTGAGTTAGTTCGATGATACAATTAGCGACTTAATTTATAATCAAGAATATACGGTTCTGTTTAGATGTGATGACGAGCATCATCGTCGGGATGCGATGATGAATCAAGTAATTTCTTCTATTGGCGAGTGGTTAGTTGCCTGATAGAATCTTTGGAACGTGCTGCTAGCCTCACGTAATGCGTTCATCAGCAAATTATTATCGGAGATAGAACGCATATTTGACTAAGTATAATTTGAAAGATAACCACTGAATCTGAGCAAGTGCAAACTACAAGTTACGTAAGAGGCCTTTGTTACGGCGTCTGAGAAACGACTTTTGAAACTATCCTTTGTGCACGTCCATTAATTGTCTGAATAAAAAGGTGTCACATCGCGATTATGGATGTAGACGCAATGCCGCAGTCGAGAGATTATAAGCCTATACAAACGGCTCTGCCGCTGAAGGTGAAAGTGGAAAATGCGTTCAAAAGTAAACAAAAAACACTTCTCGGCTCAAAAGGTCGCAATTGCTGGAGCAGCAGTGATTGAGTAGATATTTCTGGATTGCCCATTCTGAATTGCCGTGCACTTTGCACACAGGATGCTTTGACTCTCGGAATACGCGTTAGAAAAGGTAGAAACACTGGGTTCGTGCACTCCAACAAGGAGCGGAAAGAAGAGCATTAAAACTTGCCTACGAGGTAGCCCGCTTTGCTAACTCAAAAGTATGTTCACTAAAAAAATTCTGTTTAGACTAATACTAATATAGAATTTACCGTCTTATAAAAAGACAGTCTTCTTTTCTGACGTGTGCGGCTGGTAGCCCACATGTTCCTCGGGCCTCTCTTTTTGAAGCTCCGTAATCTAGTAGTTATTAATATTCCGGTGCTCACAACCACACCAAGCGTATCGTGACTTTCGCTCAGTTGTACCGAAATGAGATTATACGCTTGTACGAAATGCGTAAGGTTTTTCTCATAATACTTGCCCGCTGCACCTTAGATGTAAAGCACACTTGTGCTCAGACGTGTGATGTCTTTTTTAACCTGAGCCGAGAGCTCACTTTTGTGCACCAAATGAAATAGCCCAGCGAGTCTCCTACAAAAGCGCGGTTTTCGCGACCAGTGCGCTTGAATTTCATAATCGATAAGAATACCAAGAGGTATTACGATGAATCCCAGTGACTCTCCGACTCTCCGACTCCCGACCAAACAATTCAACCAATACACAGCCTAGTCATCCACCCTAAACCTTCTCGTTTCACGAGTCTTGGACCCCGTGCCCTATCCCATCGGCGAAAAGTGTTTTGATACCCCACCACGGGACCCGCGATGATATCCAGCTCCTGTGCAGCAGACTGCACCCGACTTTAAAGACAGCTTGCTCAACTGCAAGCGCAAGCGTCACGCGGATGCTTGCCCGAATAACGGTTTTAAACGGTCACGAAGTCTCTCGCCCCAGCTAATGTAAAGCTCCTTGCTGCCTATGCGTGTGGGCCTTCCGCTCACACCCAGAGCAAAACGAGCGCGCGAACTTCGTTCCATCACTGCTATTTCAACACCCAGAGCATCACTTCCCAGGAGTATTGTCTGCGCTTGGAGCAGCAGCGAGCGGGAAATTTCTCATCCCCCATGATGGAGGTACCTTGTCTTTTTTGAGAAAACACAATTAAAAAATCTAAGAAATCTTTGTGCAGCTAGATTTGCGCATAATCGAGAAAATCACGCTGCTTCATTCGTATTATGACCTCACAAGACAGCTTCAGTGAAGGGGTGCGCGCCTTGAGCGTCGTTTTATGCTCGATTATGCATTGTTGAAAGCACGACATCCGTCGTCGAGGTGACAACCCATCACCACAAATCCTTGCTTCTTACAATCTCCGCTCGTTCCCACGATAAATTTGTACCAGCTACAGACCAAGAGTCATTCTTACCGCAGATTTGGTCGCGTCCAACAAGTAGGAAGCGCGCTGCGACGGGTGACTCAACCGCATTTCAAAAAAAATAATGACCGAGGTTGCACCAGGTCGTAATCGCCAACGCCGTCTCGCTGACGCCATCAAGGCAATCTTACCAGAGTGAATATTAAATTCCCATTTTATCTATGCTTGGGAAACACCACCAATTCATCAGGAAATAGTAACCTTCCTTGTGTACCTGGTGGTCCATCAATACTTCACGAAAATTTGACCTCCCTTTGCTCATCGAGCGGTATTGATAGCGGTCTACCCTCCTGTGACTGGCTCTTGTGAGATCTTCCGTGTGGGAAGGCACATCATCTCTCACCGAGAGTCACAACGTACGTCCGAGGCTTTGATCGAGATCTCGGGTTTGCTCTTCGAGCCTTGTCATCACACTGCATGGCTAGAGGTCGATGATTCTTCAAGCGGTTCAGACACACGTCGCTGCTATTGAGCCGTGGGTTGCTCAGCTACAGGGAGTGGTTAATACAATGAGTCATCTGCGATAACGTTACGCACCTGCGCATGACGCTCAATCTCCTCGAGAATAATGACCGATTTAGAACGAAATATAGCCGAACTGATTCCAGCAAGTCGGCTGTTATATACAGTCCCTCCTCTGCTGAGACAACAGCCAATTTGTGGCAGTTTCAAAGCCATCCAGGGCCTTACAACCATTTATGCAAGATGATGTTAAGCCTCTAGAGGAACGTGCTGCGTAGTTTCACGCAATCTCAATGGGTGCGTGAGACTCGCTCCAGCATCGCGCTTTCTTCACGCAAGTTTCGAACAATATCATCCACAATACGATTTACATATCTTGTCTAACCATCGACTTGCAAATAATCACCGTTGGATAAATTCAAACTGGTGGCGAGCATCATCAATATGTTTGCAAATATTTCGCTGCAATGCACGAGACTTTACAACGGCTATCTGTGGCGAAACACTGAGGAACAACTTGGCTCAAACGTAAATATTACCATTATTGCTGACAACACCTAGATGAGCCATCTTTCTTATAGGACCACAAAGATCACAGTGTTGAAACTCCCGAAAGCTTCGTTTAAAAAACCCAAGAGAGAAAAGTTAATATTAATGAAGTATGCCGGGATCGACAAGCTATCCATTTTGCCACCGCATGC